TGCGCATCCACAGAGACTTGGACAAAAAAACCCCACCTTATTTGCAAGGGGACATGGGCGGGCGCCGGATGCCACCGGAAACGCGATCAGACGCCCGCCCTTGCCCCGCAGTTTCCGGAAACTAGTACCTCCAAGGTACTAGTTTTTTGCCACGCAGTTTCGGCTGGAAGCCTCGGTTGAGCCACGGGAGCGCTACGCTTCCCAGATGTGCTGGTGAGATCGCGCCCGGAAACTCCGGCTGTTTTCCGTCTCACTTGTGTGGCTTCTGTTACGTGTGACCGCAGCCTATATTGGTTTTAAATTTGTGTTTTAATTGTGTACTGGTTTTAACTTGTTTATGATATTTGTGCTCTTGCAGCTTTTGTTATTTGTTAGCCACCTCGAGTTTGTGGAGAAAAGGCAGTGTATAAACATTTTAAATAAATAACATTTAAATAAATATTATCCTTTCTTCTATTTCTCTGCTAGCCAAGGTATCCTAGTTGCTATGTCAACAGTCCATCTATGTCAACAGTTCCTTGTTGGTTCTTTTGACCCTCTCAGTGACTTGCAATGCCATCAACCATGGCATCATTTTGATCCGCATGGCCTGAAGTGTTTTGCCTCTTTTGGGAAGGAAAAAGCAGACTCCATCTTAAGCTTCAGACTCACAGTTTCAGAGTACTCTTGGATCTGATGCTTTGACTGAGACAACCACTGCACCCTTTCCTGTTGAGAGAAATGAAACACTAAAGCTCTTTCTGTTGGTCTCACACTTACTTTACGAGACCTGCGGTCTGTCCACTTGAAACTGCTTTCTGGTACTGCTTCTGGGCAACTTCTTTTTCCTTTATGATTCCAGGATAGATGACACCATCAATTGTCCTAAAGAAGAAGGGACATGGAAGAACTGAAAGGCAAATGTGTATTTTACTGTTATTTTCTCCAGTTCATCTGACTACTATTTCCACATAGCTCATTGGACATCACCTTGAGAGGCAGGAACCACAATTACTATGAGATGGGAAGCATTTTATGCCTTCACTGATTTTACCAGAGTGGAGGCTCAGAAACTTTCAGCCATCTAATGTCTGAGTCACAGGGGCACAGTCACTTGCACCATTAAAAAACAACAACCATGAGAGCTTATTCCTAGGAAGGACTGAGCTACTGTCTCTGCTATACTCAAAGGGAAGATCTATCCAATTTGTGTTTTTTCCTGTTAGGCAAGGCAAGGCTGGTTCAGGACATTTTGTCACTCCAATAAAGGTACACCCATTGCTTCCTCCTGTGATGCCAGTGGCCAGGTCTAAGCTGGGTCCCAGCTGGTGGTAGTACAGGTCCAGGATGTGAAATCTATTGTCTCCTGAGCTCTGAGGGCTGGACGTAAGCTAACCTCCTGCAGCATATTTTCTCCTTTCTTATGGTGCCACCACCCCAAGCAGTCAAGGTATCCATTGATCTCAAAGGCCTTTATGATTCTATGTGAAAGGGCTAGAGGAGACAGTGCTTCCATGTTATTGGCATGAAATGTGACTCTGGAAGCAAATAATTATGTACTTTGCAACCTTTGGCATTCCTTCATGCCAGGGCATAAAGGGTAGGCATTTTGTCCAATAACAAGAAATAAAGTCACAATTGTGTGCCAACAACTCACTTCATTCAAAAATGTCAGTGAAGCAGGATTAATTTGCATTAGCTTCTCTGTTTCAATGCTATATTTTACAAAGTAGTAATTTTTAAAAAATAACATCAGAACAGTGAGGGCTGTCAGGCAGAATTTGTTCTTACTAATTATATAGTAAGTCTTGCAACTGTATACATCCATAATCTGTACATCATACTGAGGAGGCCAAAAGACGTGTGCAAATGAAGTTGTTTGCAGTAAATATGTATATATTGACAGAGGCTAGCCACTGTACCTATTCATAAAATATCCTCATACAAATAATACACTGTGGTAACACAGAGTTGATAGCTACTGAACTTGGTTACACATTGTCCAGTTTTGCCCTCAGCAGCCATTGCCTTATATTTTACATACATGGTAAAATTTGTAATGAAGGCTGTTTTAGGAAGCTCCACATCAAAGAAAGCTTCCTTGGACACATTGGCACGATTGACAGCACGACTGGTGATGACATTACGGGAAAACCGGGAAGTAACTCTGCAATCAATCTTCACCCAGTAGATTTCAATTCCTTTGGTGTGCTGGAAAGTGAAAGATTGGCAAAAGAATTACTGTATATGGAAATAGGGGGGGTATACTTCCCCATTTTGAGTTTTAAACGTAACATTTTTGACAGCATAAAGTGAGACCATCAAGATATTGTTGGATTAATTTGACTGGAACAAACTGAAAAGAAAGCATGGTTTTGGATTTAGTGCCATTGTTATATACATTCTTTTCTATTGGTTAATCAACAGAATGCTTCTTTGTGTAACAATAAACAAATGTCACGTAAACGTTTAATCAGCAGTTGGTTTCAAAGAATTTGCCTGGGGGGGGGAGTAAAGCGTGGAGATGCTAAATTTTTCTTAAGGGCTGTGATTATGTGTGTTATAGCTTTGGAATTACTCTCTGTTCAGTCAGATAAGCAGGTTTTGTCAGCAGAAGCAATGATTGGCGGGCACTCTTCATGTTTGAAAGAAAATGTATAAGAGTAACAACTATGTTTTAAGCATTGTAAAACCTCCATTCTTGGGTTTTTAGTTAGGTTTTCTATACTTTCTCCTATAGATTGTAGACTCTCCCTCCCCAATTTCTGTTGTAGTTTTATAGAAATGCAAATAAAAAATTCCCCCTTGGGGGGCTTTAAAAAAAAAAAGCAGTGTCCATGATTACCTTATTAGTTAATATTTCTAATTATTTAGACATTCTCCTCTTTTTATTTATATTTTTACCATTACTTCATCTTTACATATCTTAAACATCTTAAATTCAAGTATCTTTCTATATATGGTTATGATCTTCTAACTCTTCTAATTATTTTAACATCAGTTAAAATAGCTGAAAAACAATGTGTATGTTTCAAAATAGTGTAACATGTATTTATTAATATTATTAATATTATTTCAATAGATATTCTTAAATAGTTATACTCATTATTATTGCAAAAAAGCTTAAGACAACTACAAATAATATAGTCAACAATGGAATTCATAATATGCAGTACTATAATATCTCTCATCCCATAAGAACTTAGTTTGGTTGACACTTTTTTCAGTCTGTTAGCGAAAGGAGATTTATTTATTTATTTTATTAGACTTGCATCCCGCCCTCCACGCAAGCAGGCTCAGGACAGTGTGATCCTATACCAAATTATTCCATTCTAAATCAACTGAAATCAACAGACTTAGACTGTTCTATTTAGGGTTGCATTTGTAAACATAATCCATGTTCAGAAGTAGAATTGGCTTGTAAGATGTTACAAGATGTTACATGGAGTACCCCAGGTGCTCCACATACGTGTGTAGCACTGTCAAGACAACATCCCGCTACCAGATGATCAGTGGTGGCTGACACACTGTCATTTTCAAGGCCCCCTTCATTAGCTGTACAAAAAGAAGGAAGAGGCAGTGGGAACCACAAGAGGCAGAGAAGGATGGAAAAGAGGGAAAGTGGCAGCCAAAGAGCAGAGTGGGTGGTAGGAGGGGAAGAGGAAACAGGAGCCAGCTGAAAGACAAAACCACAGCCACTGCAAACAGGAAGGAGGAATGAATGGCATGTAGAAATAGCATGGGGAGGAGGGCCAGCAAGAAGAACTGATATTCCATTTTACAAATAGATTCTACAATCCAGGATGGTTCTGTTAAACCAGCTCCTGTAGAAACTTCTAGCCCTCTTCTGAATTCTTTCTGTATCCAAATCCAGCCTTTAACCATTATCTTCTTCCATGCGCACAAAGGTTACAGACCCCATCCTGCATATAAAATATCTTTTAAGGAAACAATATCCTCTTCTGTTAATCAAGTTAGCCAGGTACTACCATAGTGATAGGCCTGTTACAGATGTTGGAAGCTTGTTATTTGTGAATCGTACGTTTCTCTGGGTGGGGTTTGGAGAGGCAGGGCATGTGCAGCGGGCCCTACGGTTAATAAGCAAGACAACTAGATGATGATGCTGCCACCCTTCTGCCACTGACTGTAGATAAGTATGGTAATCTTACTTTAGTCCAGAAAGTAATCTACTAGTTCAAATCACAGAACAAAGCTAGACAAAGTAATGGGAAAGCTACTTACCACACCAGCAGCATTTCTCTTCTGTAAAGAAAGGCAAAGAAAAAGTCTTAAGCATCTGGGAATAAGGGTACTACATCACATACTTCATGTTAGGTAGCAGATAATGCTGTACATAACCCATTCCATGGACAGTGGTGCTTTCACATTTACCAACATCTCTTATCAGGCAAACGCATATAAAAGTGGGGCTGGAAGCGACCTGAAGGCTATATAATTCATCCCTGGCTGGAGACTGGGTCTTCCACACACAATACATCACATGACACAGTGCAATCCTATGCAGAGTTATAGCGTTCTAAATCCACTAAAGTCAATGGATAGGATTTGCAGTAAGGTTGCCAGGTGCCCCTGACCACTGGTGGGGGATGTGGAGGAAGGGTTGCCAGATCCAGGTTGGGAAATTCCTGCAGATTTGAGGGTGGAACCTGGGGAGGACAGGGACCTCAGAGGGGTATAACGCCACAGAGTTCACTTGCCAAAGCATCCATTTTCTCCTGGGGAACTGATCTCTGTAGTCTGGAGATGAGGTGTAATTCCAGGGGATTCCCAGGTCCCACCTGGAGGCTAGCATCCCTAGACAGCACTGATAGCACTGACAGTCTACCACAAGCAGAATGCGGAATAATCAATGCCTTGGCTACCTGGAGAACATTAAATTAAGGTAATATATGCAATTCAGAATGCCAAATAAGGGTGGCAGAGGAACAAATCATTACTAACTTCAGTCCAGTTCCTAAATGGGGTGGGGTGGGGATTTACTCAGGGGAATGACATGAAAACATTCTCCACACTAACACAAACAATTCTACTATTATTACAAACAGGGCTTTTTTTGTAGAAAAAGCCCAGCAGGAACTCATTAGCATAATAGGCCACACCCAATAGTAGAAACTCATTAGCATATTAGGCCACACCCCACACCTTCCCTTGACTTGCCTGGGCACCCTGCGGCTGTGGGGAGCCCAGACAAGCCGGCCCTTGGAGGGGAGGGGAGGCAGTTTAAACTGCCTTCCCTTGGCTTGCCTGGGTGCCCTGTGGCTGGAGGGAGCCCGGGCAAGCCAGCCCTTAAAGGGAAGGGAAGGCAGTTTAAATTGCCTTCCCTTGGCTTGCCTGGGTGCCCCACGACTGCGGGGAGCCCGGGCAAGCCGGCCCTTGAAGGGGATTGGAGGCAGTTTAAACTGCCTTCCCTTGGCTTGCTTGGGTGCCCTGTGGCTACGGGGAGCCCGGGCAAGCCAGCTCTTGAAGGAAAGGGAAGGCAGTTTAAACTGCCTTCCCTTGGCTTGCCCGGGTGCCCTGCGACTGCAGGGAGCCCGGGCAAGCCAGCCCTTGGACAGGCTGGGGAAGGCATGGGGAGGCATTTAAATGCCTCCCTGATTCTTCCAGCCCCTCCCCTGGCCCGCCCGCCTTGGAGTTGCCAGTGGGGGGTCGCTTTCTAGGCCTTCCCTCTGTAGCCATGCATGCACAGAGGTTTTGGCTGTAGGCATGGGCGTGGCCAACTCGGAAGCCAGCCGGAACTCCATTCCTGTGTGTTCCTGCCCAAAAATAGCCCTGATCACAATTGACTAGTTGTGGTTATTTTAATTCTTCACAAAATTCCAGTGGGGTAGCCATCTTAGTCTGCTACAATAAGACAAAATTTTAAAGATGAACAGATGTACTATATTTCATGGATGTAGTAGGTTCTAATCGATGAAAGTTCATGCCATATTAACAATGTAAAGTTACTACAGCATAAACCTATTGGATTGACGGACTTATGACTTGGCATAGAATTGCATGGTAAATCACAAGACTTTGTTTCAGAGAAAGAGGTATTTTTGTTAGAAAATGTATACTCATTGTACATAGAGCTTTTGAACATAGCCATTGTTATTTCTGGACAAAAGGAGGCATGCCTTGACTTGTCTGGCAGGCCACCTAGATGGAGAGTGGGGAGGCATGTCTGGGCTTGTCTGGGCAGGACACCTAGTTGGAGCTTGAAGCTCCAGAAGCCAAGTGTCCTGTTGTTATTTATTTACACGTGAAGAAAGAAAAAGCCGGGGTGGGGTGGGGGTGGGACGCAAACAATATGTAATTAAACCAAATACATGCTGTGCATAACAACATACATGGAGGCAAAAAGCGTAAGCTGTCACATTCATAGAAGCAATGAGCTAGAGTTCCTGCAGTTTACAAACTGAGACAAAGTAGAACAGTAAACATAGCTCCTGCAATTTACAAATTAAGGTGAATAGATCAGTAAACGTTTATGAAGACTCCAGAAAGTTACTTTGTTTAGGAAAAAACACTTCTTCAGAAGCACAATGCACAAAATGGTTGTCTTATTTCTTGTCTTTTTACATAATTCTCGCTATAAGATCCTATACAAAGGTTATAAGAATTGTTTAGAAAAAATACCTTAACAAGACGACAGAAATTTAATAAATGGCATGCCAGCTACTGGAAATACTGATAAGGTTTTTGACCCTCAAGGGTATCCCAGGAGTCATTCAGTTCTTTGATGGCATACTCATTGCAGGCTCCTCATTGCATACTCATTGCATACTCATTGCAGGCTCCTCCACGAGGTACTTCACCACTTCTAGTCCGTTGGCCTGTGTGTCAAGTGGGAAAAGTGCCTCCTGGGCATCCTGAAGGTTGAGTTCCTTGGATACCTCATCGATGCAGATGGCATACACCCCACTCCCGATAAGGTCAAGGCCATCGTGAACCTGCCTTGGCGGGGAAGGCAGGGTACAAATTTGAACAAATAAATAAATCAAATAAATAAATAAATCATGAACACCCTGTCTTCGACATCAAGGCAGGAGTTCCAGGCATTTCTTGGACTCCTAAACTTTTACCACTCGTTCCTGCCATACAAGGCAGCCTTGACTGAGCCACTTCACCGTCTCCTGGACAAGAAGTCTCCCTGGGTCTGGGGCCACCACCAGAATGCCATGTTCCAAGCTGTGAAAACCCTGTTCACATCCAACTCTTTTCTTGCCCACTTCAACGAGTCCCTCCCAGTGGTCCTCGCCTGCGACGCCTCCCTGTACAGCATAGGTGCTGTCCTCAGTCATGAACTTCTGGACGGCCAGAAGGCGCCCATCACCTACTATTCGCGCAGAGAGGAACGATGTGCAGATCGACAAGGAGGCCCTAGTAGTCGTGGCTGGCATCAAGAAGTTTCATGACTACCTCTTTGGCCATTGGTTCGCCATCACCACGGACCACTTTGCTCTGGATCACCAAATGCCTCAGATCCTGTCACCTCGCATCCTGCATTGGTCCATCTTCCTATTGGCCTATCAATACACCCTGCATTACCGCCCAGGCAAGGCAATGGATCATGCCGATGCACTCAGTCATCTTCTGCTTCCCATTTCTGACACAGACCCAGCTCTGGCACACTGTGTCATGCTCCTGCAATCCCTTCCAGAACCTCCACTACACACTTCAGATATCGCCATGCATTTGGCTAAAGACCGCATCATCTCCTGGGTCCTCAACTGGGTATGGAGGAGGTGGCCTACCAGCTGCAGGGACGCAGAATTCATGGCGCACACTTCCTGCCAGCAGGAGCTCTCTGGGGAAGTTGAGTAGTGGTCCCCACAAACCTCCGAAACCGAGTCCTGGAGGCGCTCCATGAAGGCCACCCCGGCATCGTGTGAATGAAGGCTCTCGCCAGGAGCTATGTCTGGTGGCCAGGCCAAGTATCCCAGCCCAAAGCCCCCAGGGCGCCAGTTCAGCAGTGGGAGTCCACCCGCACACTGTGGTCCCAGCTAAATGTCGACTTTGTGGGACCCTTCCAGGGCCAGAACTTCTTCATCCTGGTTGATTCATACACAAAATGGATTGAAGTTGTTCCAGTCACCGCCATGACAGCCCAAACAGTTGTCAGGGCTCTATGGAAGATCTTTGCCACTGACGGACTGCCTGACATGATCGTGTCTGATAATGGGGCACAATTCACTTAAGTGGAATTCAAGAAGTTCATTGACAGATACCTGATCTGCTACGTCACGTCAGCTCCCTTCCACCCAGCCACTAACGGCTAGGTTGAGCGAATGATGAGAACCACCAAAGAAGCCCTCACCCGGCTCATCCATGGAGACTGGGATCACTGATTGGCATCATTCCTCATCAGCCAGCGAGTCATCCCATGCACCGCCACCGGCTGCAGCCCTGTGGAACTTCTCATGGGCTGGTGCCTGACAACCCATCTCAAATGGCTGCACCCAGACAGGACCTCCAACTGGCCGCCAATCCCCGAGATGTGAGGCGCGGCCCATCGATTCACCCCTGATGATCCCGCCTATGTCAGGAACTATGCGGACAGCCCTGCATGGATCCCCGCGACAATTGCTTGAGCCACTGGCCCCATCTCCTATGAGGTAACCACCCCAGACAGCTGGACTCTCCACTGCCATGTGGACCAGCTGTGCCACCACCTTGCTGACTCAACAATAGCCATGCCACACCCAACTGTGGATGGTCACTGCCTGGACCTGCATTAGCCCGGAGCACCTGTCTCAGCCTGGACCTGCAACCCTCCTGGTACCTCCTGAGCCACCCAGCGTCAGCATACCAGGTGTCATACAGCCTGCACTGCCAGCGACTACCCCAGCGCCAGAGCCCCACCACTCCCAGTGAGAATGTGTGAGGCCCCGGTACCTAGAGGACTACGTTTGCTGACCAAGGACCGGACTTAGGGGGGAGGGGTGTTACGTCTGGACATAAGGAGGCATGCCTGGACTTGTCTGGCAGGCCACCTAGATGGAGAGTTGGGAGCATTGTCTGGGCTTGCCTAGGCAGGCCACCTAGTTGGAGCTTGAAGCCCCAGAACAAAGGCAGGCAGGATCCTGGAACCTACCTGCAGATTGGCCCCTGAGGGCCCCTGTTGAGATGTAATAAACTGCTGCTTGTTGAAATCATTCTGCCTTTGCCTCTGCTGTATTTAACCCACTATTTTACAGCCATACAGTTAAATAAGAAAGGCATAATCATAGTTCCTTGTGGAGTTTCATTCAGAATGTGCACTGCTCATACTACAGTGCAAAAGGTCCTTAATGAAATCAACAAGCATTCATGTGGAATGGAGACAAAATCAGTCTGGTCAGGTTTTCCTCATCCTCAGTATACTCTTCCCCGAACCTGCTTTAGTCTGACCTTTCATGAAAGAACACTGTGTAAGCAAGCCATCATGCTGTCTAGATGGGAATGTGTACATTTTCAAAGGTCCCAGCCACACTGATGCCATATTCCTGCAATCAGACCCTCACAGTCACCATTTCCCCACAGTGTCATCAGACATTTTTTTAAGTGGCATAGTGGGCAAAATGGTGGCTGCAAGGGGATGTATGGAAGATCCATTGCCAGCAGGGTTGCCAGGTTAGGGTGGGGAAACACATGGAGATTTGGGGGGTGGAGACTTGGGAGGGCAGTGTTTGGGGAGGGAAGCAATCTCAGTAGGATACAATGCCATAGAATTCACCCTCCAAAGCACCCATTTTCACCAGGGGAACTGATCTCTATTAACCAGAGATCAGTTGTGATGGCAGGAGATCTCCAGGTTCTACCTGGAGGTTGGTAACTCTTATTGCCAGTGCTAAGGCCTGTGCCCTCTCAGCAACAAGGAAAGCAAAATGCAGAAGAAGAAGAAGAGAAGAGATTGGATTTATACCCCGCCCTTCACTTGGAGTCTCAGAGCGGCTTACAAACTCCTTTCCCTTCCCCTCCCCACAACAGGCACCCTGTGAGGTGGGTGGGGCTGAGAGAACTCTTGACACAAACTGCTCTTTTTCAAGGACAGCTGTGCCAGAGCTTGTGACTGACCCAAGGTCACATCAGCAGGTGCAAGTGGAGGAGTGGGGAATCAAACCCGGTTCTCCCAGATTAGAGTCCGCGCACTTAACCAATACACCAAACTGGCAACTGAAGAAGCCAGAAGCACTATAGAAATGCAAAGTATTATTCTTCCGTGACAAACATGCTTTTCTAAAAGCAAAAGAAGGGTGGGGATGGGTGGGACTTCTATTAAATATTTTGTATTACATATACTTTTCCATAAATGTTCTCCGAAAAGCAATATGATACAAGGTCTTTATTTGGAAAAAAAATATGGGGGGGGGCATCTTGCTTCTCCAGACATGACAGTGTGCAAGCTGGTTCTATTTATGTTTACTTGGAAATTATCATTGTGTTCAACATTACTTAATCCCTAGTAAGCATGTTTAGGACTACAGCATGACGACACAGTGCTTTGTACTTGGGAGTAAGCTCCCTTGATCTCAATGAGGCATTTCTGAGTGAACCAGATACCAGAGGATTGGACTATACATCTGGTTATAGTAGTGTCCAAATGAGATTAGTAGTGTTGCCAGCTCTTAATGGGACATTCTTGGAGATTTGGGAATGGAGCCTGGGAAGAATGGAGTTTGGGGAGGGATGTGATGCCATAGACCCCTGTAACGATTTCATGTTTTTTTTGTGTGTGTCTTTAAAAGTGGTTTGTATGGATGTATGACAGACTAGGATACTGGACTCAAGCAAGTTATATGATTGGTGAGTGACAGAGAGGGGGAGGGGTTTTGGAATGGATGCTGTGTGGATGATTGGAATGTCTATCTGGTGTGTCTGTTAGGTATGACAGTTGAGAAAAACAGAGAGTCAGAGCAGAGTGAGCTGTGTAAAAGCAGAGTGAGTTTTGTCCTGAGGTCTCTGTGTGAGAAGTTCCTGTGTGAAATATAAGAGTAAAAGTCTCTGTGTTAAGCAGACGGTTAAGGTCTGTGTTATAAGAGTTACAATTGAAAGCTGAGAGTCTAAGAAAAGTACAGTGAAAAGGATTACAAAGTTGCTTTAACCTCCCTGTCAGTAAAGGAGAAGCTTGTGAGAGACACCAAGCATTTTTTCAAATCCTTCCCAGTACTGTTTACATTGTTTACCCTTGTATTTATGTTTTCTTTAAATAAATCCTAATTCCTTCAAGTATACCAGCTCAGCAAATAATCCTTCCTCAGACCACATAGACCTTCATGAATGCCTAAGACCCATGGTACACCTACCCCGTGGAAAATATTATAGGAAAAGGTTTGGGAAAACCTAGATTTCCCTGGTGGCAGCCAGAATACTCTACAGAGTAAAACTGAAAGAACATTTTAAAGTTAAACTAGACCTCCCCAAATAAGAGGTCGTCACAACCCCACTTTCCAAGCATTTTCTCCAGGGGGACTGATCTCTGTAATCTGGAGATCAGCTGAAATTCTGGGAGAATTTCAGGCCGGTGTGGAGTTTGGCAAGCTGACACTGGAGATCAGTGATTAATTTCTTCAAATAGCAATTGTGGGCTGACTTACTTGGCCAGTGGTGGGATAGGGAAGGTTTAACCCTTTCCCTTTCTCACATCTCAGCAACATTGGGGTAGTATTCTCTAGATGCAAAAAAACTCCTATTGGTGCAAACAGCACTCCCGAAAGGCAAATTATATTTGAAAATGGTGCATGGAGTCAAGCCATCCCTCTTCAAATTAGTCCCATCACTAGCCCACAGTGCCCCAGGCTAATATATTGACAAATACATTATTATTAAATACCATCAAGCTGCAACCAAGTTATGGTGACCCCTCAAGGTAAAGCTTTCAAAGGTGGAGATGAGCAGAGGTGGTTTGCCATTACCTTT